TGGACTTTAACTGCTTCTGACTTAGAAATGTTTTACAAACTATCAAGGCATGAGATAAGTCTCAAGCCTTCCCCTTTACCAAGCACTTCTGCAACAGCCAAACTAAACATGGACCTTTTTGAGCAGGCAGGAATAAAACTCGCCTCCAGGGAGAACGTGCGTGATGACTCACAGCAGCCAGAAAGGGGATGTGTGACCCAGAAGAAGGGTTACCACAGTGTGGTCCCTGCTTCCTGTTCAAGATCTCGCCATGCCCTGGGCCACAGCGCCTTCTGATAGGATTCAACAGTCCCTGTGGTTCCCCCAAGTAACTCAACAAATATGGTCAGGAAGAAATTGTCTGTAAGGAGCGCATGCTACTTTAAAATAATTTCCTGGAGACACTCTGCGGTCCTTCGGTACAGATTAGCTATGCTGCACTTGTCTTTCAATATATATTTTATTTTCATTTTATTGCTGATAGGCAGAAATGCTTTCTCTGGATGCATAATTATATTTCACAACAAACTTTGTGCTGTGCCAATGAGGAGACGTAATCTACATACACATATGCATACCTACAGGGGCTGTATCTTCACAGATGAAGCCTTACCTTTGTGTGATAAGCCATGCTAATAACAGAAAACAGTGGCATGGATCAGCATGAAATAAACTTTTTAAGTGTTTGATCAGCATTTTTTCTCGGCATATTTATCTCCCTGATTAAGTGTTCTTTGGGCAAATATTAATTTTAGTTTTTATTCTCTAAATACAAACCAGTTAATAATCTATAGAAAATGTCCCAAATATACCCTAAAAATCCAAGGACTGATGGTATGGAGAAGTTTTACAGTGGATCATTCACACAGTCCATCAGCTATTGCTTGGTTGAATGGGGAGGTAGGATCTGAGAATAAATCTGATTCTTGGTGATGCCTTGAGTGTTGGCCTTCATTCCCCCTTGGCCTCCCTCCAGTTCTTCTCAAAAGCTCTGAACTTCTAATGCCTTTCCTGGGGGAAGGAGAGCTTTTGGTCCCGGTGACTGTCATACAGTCGATGCTTCCCTGTGAGCCACCAGCTCTGCAACCTACTGAGTGTGCTCACCGGAGGACATATTTCCCAACTCTGCCATTCCCAGAGTACCTTTAGACCTGAGTTGGAAAACAAAGCACTCGCAGAACATTGCATTGATTGACGGAGCCATTTCCTTCTGTGTTAGTTACTTTTCTCTCATTACTGAGACAAAATACCTGGAAAAATTAAAAGGAGAAAGGTTTATTTAGCTCAGAGTTTGTAGAGGTTTCAGTCCGTAATTGACTAGCTCCAAGGAAGAGTAGCACATGGCAGAGGGCCATTGCCAAGGAGAAATGGTTCATGGCGGGCAGAAGGTAGAAAAGCAAGTAAGAGGGACAAGATAAGCCTCTTTCTGTCCCTTATATTGTGTCCAGGCAGCTGAGATTAGGGCAGTGCCACACAATTAGTGGATTGATATAGTAATCACCTGTCCTTATTCCTACCATTGCACTGTGAATCAGTCACACACTCTAGATTTAGCCACCTCTGAAAAAGCCACACCTGTGACTGCATGAGGCTTTGGGGGGACATCCAGACAGAAGCCAAACACTTTGTCATGATTCTTCTCCAATCCGCCCAGAAGTGAGTTTTCACGTTTGATAACTGCAGAGGAAGGAGGCTTGAGCACATTTCAGAGTGAAAGTAAAATGCCACCTCTGCAACCACCTACAGGAATTTATCAAGGAGTTACCATCTCCAATTTTTACCTACCTTCATGGAGTTTATTGTAGTCTTATGTGGGGAGAAGACATGTATTTTAGCATAAGGAATAAAATGATGGGTACCTTATGGAAAAAGAATAAAAGCCATGGGAACTCACATGCCAAAAAAAAATGTAAAAGCCCTGCAGTAAAGTTGTAGCATAGGCGGATGAAGGAAGGAGTCATGAGACAGTGGGATTTGAGCTGGCCTTAGGAGGGATGGCCTGATTGGTGACACAAGGAGAAGAAACATGGCCTCTCAGACAGGAAGTGAAAAGCTCAGTGTGGTGAGTCCAGTGTGCAAGAAGAGAGAAGAAGAAAATGAAATTGGCTGGGCAAGCACATTTGGGCCTGATCGCAGAGGTCTTCAACACCAGACAAACAATGTGGAAGATTTCCAGTAAGTTGTAGGAACCAAGGAGGTCTGGCCTGGAGAAGTTGTATTATCCAATCATTGCTTTAGGAAGTTTGATCCAACACAGATGACTCCCATGGCTTGGAGAGAGAAGACTGAAAGCCAGAAGACCGATTTTGGGGCTGCAGTGAGAGGAATGGCGTCCACACTAGCTTGGTGGCAGTGGGAATAGAACAGGTGCAGGATTAATAGGACTTGACAACTAATGAACTGCGAGAGAAAATTTTAGAAGACAACAATACCATTAGCATGAATTAGAAATTCAAGGGGAACTGATTTAGGGGGGAAAGATGGGACATTTTGAAATATACATAATTTATTTATGCTGCATATATTCAGGAGCTTGTTGGGGGTGAGATTAAAGAACTATGTTAAATGTTTTATCAAAAGAATGTATAGAAAGACAAGAGAACTGAACTTGTAGTCAGGGAGAATACATACTTTACAATGAGAAGAGATTACTGGAAAAGGAAAACAACAAGGAAGAGGAGGGGCAGAGGGATAAAAGACTCCAGGACAATACCATCTTGAAGAAATCAAAAGTTTGTATCTATTTTGGCTGTAGTATGCAAATAAAATTCACAGTGATTCAAGCCAAAAAAAAAAAAGCCCCAAATTTGTTGTAACACATGTATATTAAATTTCTGTTGCTGCATAACAATTGATCCCAAATATAGTGACTTAAAACAACACCCACTTATTATCTCACACTTTCAGCATAGTTGGGTTCTCTGTTCTGGGTTTCATAAGGCTGACTGCAGTGTTCACTAGGCTAGGTTTTTATCTGGAGCTCCTGGTCCTTTGTAAGTTCACATGGTTATTTGTAGTGTATTTAGTTCATTTTGGTTGTCACACTAAGGCTCCTGTTTTGTGACTGGCTGCAAGCTCAAGAATATTCTCTGCTTCAGGAACCTACCTCACTTCCTTGCCATGTGACTTGTCCCCCTTCCCAATAGGTCTTGTCATGGTTTCGATCTCATTCCTGGTAGAGTCCAGCCCTTTTAAGGGCTCATTGGATTAGGGCAAGCCCACCAAGTATAATCTCTGCATTTTCAAATCACCTGATTTGGGACCTTAATTATATCTTCAAATATTGCTTCACAGAAATAGTACCTGGATTGGTGTGCCATTGAATAACCGAAAGGGTGAGTGTGTGAGTGTGTGTGTGTGTGTGTATGTATGTGTGTGTGTGTGTGTGTTCATCAAGGGATGGGACAGTCTTGGGGACCATCTTAGAATTTTGCCTGTCCCATATGACACCACAACTAAAAGTTCCAGGGATAAATCTCACTTTTGGCATGGCTGGTCCTACAGGACCTCACAATCACATCTGGCCTTCGGCATCTCTCTCTGCCACAGAACTTCATTCTCAAGGAAGCTGTCTTTCCAAGGTGGTGGAAACACTTCCAGGTAACATCACACATTGCTGCTCATTAGATGAGGATACTTCTTTCCTCTCAGTTCCAGCCTCTGGGAGAAGCCTTTGATTGGCCTGCCTTTGGTAGATGCCTCACCGGAAAACCAGTCAACTCTGGCTAGGGGGATAACTGTATTTTGTTTGGGCAGACCTGGGTCCTGTTCTCCCCTTTGGAGCCAAAGTAGGAGGTCATTCTGGCCCAAATGACAAAGAAAATGGAGAAGGGGTCATTTCAGAAAGATGCTTCTCAGGCAAAAATTGTAGTCTACTAAACAGCTGAGAAAAAAATTGAAAGAACTTTTGGTAAACAATATATTGAGTAGAAGAGCAGTCAGTTAGTTGGAGGGCTTCAGCAGAGGTCAATTACATTTAGAAGGCTGGAAATTGTCCTGACCTTTACTAAAAAGTAATGGTAGAACACCGGGGATTTAGCTCAATGGTTCCACCACCAGCTTTGCAAGCACAAGGTCCTGAGTTTGATCCCAGGTACCAAAAAAAAAAAAAACGGTTAGCAGGAATGCCAAGGTTTTATGTTGTATGTGTTCTGGCACCAGCTTGGAATACTGCACCTTCACCTGCTTGTTGGTGAATGGGAGACAGGTGACAGTCACTTGGAAACCTACCAGGGTATGGAGAAGATGCTCCAGGGGTGGCAGTGACTGGGGATCTTTGTAGGCCAAGGAGGACTTTTGTAGTAGCAGGGAAATCAAGGGAGAGATGGGACAGAACTGACCCAGTAGGACCTGGAGCCAGTAGGAGGAGCTCAAGTGGAGTGAACTTTCACAGAAAGTTCCTCCTGGATTTTACAGGTGTACACTGTGTGGTGGTGGTTTTTGTGTGCTTGGTCATTTATCACTTCTTTGGAATAGACAGGTATCATTCCTCTCTGTGTGGTGATGCAGTGTATTCAAGGGTCTTCCACTTTCTGGCCATATAGTTGAGAGAAAGTCCCTTAGAGCAGAAGCACTCAAAGCGCGGTCCCCAGATTGGCATCATCTGTAAATCATTATGGGAAGACAAGTTCTCGGGCCCATGTCAGACTTTCTAAATCAGAAATCTGTGGTTTAATGAGATTGCCAGGTGTTTCTGATGCTGGTTCAAGTTTAAGAACCCGCTGCATCTCTCCTTCAAGGAGGAGGAAGGTGTCTGTGATGGTGGTTTTGGAAAAATCTGTGAGAATCCTCAATCTAGCCTCCCGTGATGGGGTGGGGTGGGGGTCGAGAGGGTATATAAGTCCTGAGAGGCACCAGCAACTGTTCAGAAGCCGCAAGTACCTGAAGACAGAGTGGTCTGGAAGGTTAGGAAAGAGGAGGTAAAGTTGTAATTTGTTTTTCAGTGTGGGAAGGGCTTTCATTTGGACAAGAGGCATCATGAGAGCTCCCGATCCTGGAGGACAGGGAGAGGTGAGATGGGCTTCAGCTCCAGCTTCTCAGGAGAGATTCCTTTTGCCATACGGATTAAGTCCTAGAACAGCTTTGGCTATGGCTCATTTAATTTAAATTCAGGCTCTTCCACTAGACACTTCTAGGTGCTTACAAAAGGAGGGCATAGCAAGGTTTCTTTCATCAAGGAGTTTATAAACTTTCTGAGCCTTCCAGACTTAAGTTCAATGGAGTATAAAAAGACAACATAACAGTGCTGAACTGAAAGAAGCCAAGGGCAAAAGTGGCAGAGGCTGTAAAGTACTGAGGCCAGTCCAAGGAGGCAAAAGTTGGTATTTGTGTCATTTTCTCCTCTGGATTGAGGATTAAAAACCAGCAGCCTGGCATAATTTTGCGGTATCAGACAAGTTGGCCACACGAAGTCCTTCTTTGGACTCTCTCCTCTCTGAGTTTGCTAAGGTTTGTCAAAACTACTAGGTCAAAGTCACAGTTTGTGTTCTGGGACTTAGCACCCGGAGTATTATTAATATTTGTTTGCATGAGAGACTTGGAGGAGAAACGATGTTTTATGCTAGGCATCTTAAATGGAAAGAGGCTCAAAGAGAAGCTTGGCATGTCCATTGCAGACAGACTTTCAAACTTGCTCCCTTCGTGAAGAGAACATGAATGAGCCTGCCTGAGGATGCCTTGGTTTTGTAGGATGAAGAATGCAAATGACTGATTTTTCCTTAGTGGAAGAATTAAATTGAGCCAGACCTGGGATGAGAGGGAACCAGAAAACACTTCATGTGGGCACAGTTTTTCCATTACTTTGTATTTCTTTGCATCATTCTGCTCATCTGGGTAAGTAAACCTCAGCAGACCAAGAACCGAGAGAGAGAAGGTTGGTAGACACTGTTAAAGTTGGGCATAAATACGGCAGGAAAGGAATAACAAATATCCTGGTAGACAAGAGGAAGCCAGAAATTTGGAACCTAAACCAAGGTACTGTTTTTTTCAGAAATTTACATGTGATATGATCTGTTTTGAGTGGGTTTTCTTTGTTTTGTTTGGGGTTTTTTGGTACCCAGGATCGAACTTGGGACATTGTGCTTTTAAGGCAGGCGATGGAACCACTGAGCTAAATCCCCAGCCCTTCAGTGGGTTTTCTTAAGTCCAGCTGTGGCAGGCAGGTGTCCAGAGAGCTTCCTTTTTCCTGTGATGCTGGGTGACTGGGGTGCCTCAAGAAGAAAGGTCTTTCTTGTCCCATTGAGGACAATACCTGCGTTGGATGGTGATCCTCTGGCAGAAGGCTCTAGTGCTTGTTGCTAGATAGCTGAGTGAGCAGTCAGGAGGACTCTTTTATGTCAGTGTGTTGAAGACAGTTCTCTTGCTTTTAGTCCAGGAGACCCCGATGAAATGATCCTCCCTCAAAAAAAAAAAGAAAAATAGAATAACAAGTTAGCTGCAGATCTGACCAACTGATGTACTGGCTGTTTCCTTAGAAACCTGATACCCACTAACTTCCCCACTTGATTATTACTTTTGTAAGAGACCTTCCAGAGCCCCATCTTCCAAAATGAGGTGGCCCCGTTAGGATTATAATTCACAAGACTTATTGTTCCTTTGTTCTGCCTATATAGTTTTCAAATTTTGTACATAGACTGAAAATTATATGCGATGGGTTTTTTTAAGTAATGAAAGATGGAACCCAGAGGGAACCCAGGAATCACTTGTATCCCAGCCCAATGATGGCAAACCTGTGGGATGCATGCCACAGCCAGCTGTTTATTACCCTTGAAAGTTCTAAAAGGTTTGCCATCACTGTCCTAGCCCTTTCTAATTTTGACACAGGGTCTTGCTAAGTTGCCCAGACTGGGTTTGAACTTGTTCCTCCTGCCTCAGCTTTCTGAGTTAGTTGGGATTACAGACATGTGCCACTGTGCTGGGCTATGATTCTTTAATGTCTGTCCCTCTTGACTTAGCCCCTTGAGCACAGAGTCCTTCACTTTTTCACCATTGTCCCTCAGTTTGACAAATTGGTGGATATAGTAGTGTTAGGTAAAAATTTTCCCAGGGAATGGGTTAATGAGAAAGCACTTGGTAAACTGGATTCCCTATAAAGGTGATGATTAAATATACCAAAGCAGACACTCCTTCTGTCTTAATTTTGTCTCTAAAAGTTTGAGTGTTTTACCAGTTCTAAGTCTAAGATTTGGTGTTATTCACTCCTTTCTTTTTTGAGATAGAGGGCCACATTTTTCTTGTGGAAATACTACATGGCACACCCACAATGCTGATACCACAACTCCCACCTGTGTTAAATGAATTGGTGCTCGTGACTTTGAAAGGAAACATCTGAGGGCTGGGGATTTAGCTCTGATTTCACCGCCTGCTGCGCAAGCACAAGGACCCAAGTTCGATCCCCAGTACAAAAAAAAAAGAAACAGAAAGGAAACATCTGACTGGCACTTGCAGATGATTTATACTGGAAACAGACAGGATCCCAGCACAGCACTGGAATTCTGTGTCTTCCGTCATTTCCCAAGGCCACTCTCATAACTTCCTGTCCCTCAAGTGTGCTCCGCAAGGGCGCACAAGTCAAAATCCTTGATACTGTGATGGCTATCGCTGGGTCTGCCTTCAGCGGGGAGGGGAGATGTGTGAAAAATCAAACTCCAGTTTGGAAAATATTCACGATGAGACCATGAATAGGTCTTTTCACTAAAAGGAACAAATAAACCATATCCAGTCCTTTTCCAGCGGGGCCTCGGTGTGCCACCTCTGTGTGAATGTTGTCGTTGGTGGGCGGAAATGGCAAACGGCCAAGTGGAAAATTTCATAGCCCTGCAAACATTTCGGTGCACGAAACGCTGCCAACCTACAATCTGGGCGAGCTGTGTGTTGGGTGCCAAATACCCACGCTCCTGCCGGGCCACTGGTGCCTACCTTACACACTCCCACCCCTTAGCGTCCTGCTCCATACCTTCCCTCCTCTCTCCCAGAAATTCCAGATGTCTTGGTTCAGTTCTGTTCCCCATCCCCTGCCCCGGCACAGCGGACCAGGCAGACCTCTGGGTGCCCCAGGAGAGCTGATTACTGGTGCCTCGCCAAAGCTGGCTTTTCTGTTCTGGCTCCGAGCTCAGTGACAGGCTTCTGGCCACTAATACTTTGCATTTACATAGCACCTGCCTTCTCGAGAACTGTGAGAGCGCTTTGTAAAAGTGATCTTATTGATCACCTGGGTAAGGCCTAAGAATGGCGAAAGATGCTAGTCCTCCTTCCCTTTTGCAGAAGGTGAAATTAAATGGCGTGGCTTTTTGTTTTGGTGGAGCTGAGGCTAGAACCTGGGCCTCACGTACGGTAGTTAAGTGCTCTACCCCTGAGCTATACCTCCAGGCCTCAGTGACTTGAGGCTGTTTTGCAAGTTTTCATCTCAGCCTGAATTTGTGTCTGAAGTCTCCCAGAATTGTCTTCTATTTCATAGAGGCGGGAAGAAGAAAAAAAGGAAAAAGCTGACCGAGCTGTATCCCCCGGCACAAGAACAAAAACTACTGCATTTCATTTTCAGGAAAGGATACTGGGTTTAGAAATGGTCTTTGGTGAATTATCAGTCTAAATGATCATTGACTTCATTAGAGATAAGGGATTGGATAATGCATTTACCTATTTCTTTTTCTTCTGTTCCCATGCTAGGTATTTCTCACTTGTCAGTGAAAAGAAGGAAGAATACATCTGAGACCAGGCGTCCTACAGCTTCTGTGAAAAGTCTCCATGGTGAAGTCCAGGCTGAGGCTCGCTGGGAACAGTGCACAGTGAATGTTGTAAGTTAGCAGCATCTGCAGAGGCTTGTCTGGTACAGATTTGTGAATCACTGGATGTAGCTGAGCCAGGGTGGTGAAGGGGCATTAGCACAAGCTCTAGATGATCATCCAATTACTTGCTTTTCTTAGAAGCGGTTTCTGTTTGTATTTGCCAGGAACTCACCTCTTTCAGCTTTTGCAGAGTGCTGCTTGTTATCTACTCGAATAAAAGATTAGGATCCACTCTTGCTACTGGCTCTTGAGATGGGGCTATCATAATAGCAAATACAGAGCAGTCTCTTTAGATGGGGCTGTTGCCATTCTTTTAGGCTGATGGATAGGCAGGATTAGTACTCTGCAGGATTAGCACTAGCGTTTCTACTCAAATGCTATTATGGCATGGTTGTGTGTGTTTAATTTTTGTCCTCACATTCAAAATTTTGAGGTATGCAAATATACACATTTCTTTTGGGTGCTTCCTTTATTCAATATTAGCCAGTTAAGTAACTAGCTTATACCATGTTACTAGATAGGGATTATGGGATTTGTAAAGTTAGACCTGCAGGCTAGCCAGTGGTTCATGAGAAGTTTTAGTGTCACATCATTGACAAGATGGCCAAGCATGAGTCTCAGGGAGGTCGGTTGCTGTTAGACTTGTGGATTTGCCCAGCTCTGCTACTTTTTGGACATTTTTGCCTGATGGCTAGATTGTGTTGCAAAAAAAACTTTCTGGTGAATCTTGGCCAGGAAAAAATGTAGCTACAGGAAATCCAGTATGGCCAAAAAGGACTTCTGGAAAGAGGAAATAATAATCTCTTCAAATTTTAGAAGATGAAGGCTCAGCTTTAACTAGGTGTTGTGTATGTGTGCATGTTTTATTCTATATGCATACATAAGGTTTTGACTTAATCAGAATAACTTTCCAGTTGTTTGCCATCTACTTTTGCCAGTTGTCTAAAAGATTTAAAAGATGCATTATATATCAGGAAATAAAAGTATGGACATTGAAAAGAGAAATTTCTACTGAATATTTATTTCATGGATTTAAAACACTTTGTATTAAAATATGCATATGTATCTATAGATTGCCTGCAGGTTACATAGTAATAATAAAATTAGCTTATTAAAGTCAGAATTTCTTACAGCCTCATAGCACACAATGGGAGATGCTGGTATCTTGATGTATTTCCATTTTGAACATTTGACCATATTGGTTCTAGTGGAAAATACACAGCTCCTGAAATCGGTGATCCTGAATTTTATTGCTGGCCATACCATAAGTATAATCACAACATTGGACAAATCACAAATGCTCCAAAAGTGCAATTTTGTTAGTCTATGGATTGCTGCATCCACCTGTTTTCTAAGCAGTCAACAGTTGGCTTGGGGTCCCCATGAGGGGCAGAATATTGTGTGGGCACCTTAATTCTTACCACAAATAATCTCTTCCTGTAAAATTTCTGTCATTATCAAGGAAGACTTTGGGGACTCATTGGATTTGGGTGTTAGGGTGTTCTGCTGGAAATTCTGCTAGAGCAGTGGTTCTTCCTGAGAAGCTAGTGTCTTACAGAAGAACATTTTAGGTTCAGGCACAGTTACTATAATCAATACAGTTTTTGTTTCACATCTGGTGGTGGGGTTTTTCTTGATAGTTGCTTTGAAATGCCCATGTCCAACCTCAGAAGTTAAGTTTTAAGAAGCTCTGAAGTGTAAACTTAGATGCCACATGGCAGACTTAAATTATAAAATCCTTCTGTAAGTGGAGTATGTTGAGAGAAAGGAAGAAAATACTAAATTCCAGTGAACTCCTTAAGCACACTAACAGCTTTGGGTTTTTCTGTTGATTTTTTGTTGTTGTTGTTTCTTTTTGGTACTGGGGATCAAACTCGGGAACTGGCATTTTCGAGGCAGGTGCCAGAACGTCTAACAACTTTGTTTTCAAAACTGCTTTGCTTGAGATGGGAGGGAGCTTCCCAGTTTTCTTAGTACATTTTAGTATCAGTCACTTCTTGTGATCTCGGCACGTTTTTACAACAGCCTTTACCCTGGTTTTAGTGTCTCTGTGCTTCAAGGCTGGTCCTGTGAGTGGCGGTGTACTAGGGAAGGCAATGATTTTCACAGAATGTATGTTTGCACGTAGACCGTTGTGGGTGTGGATGTGTGGGTGTGTGAGCGTGTGAGTAATGATCGTAGCAGCCATTGCAATAAGCAGTTTTGTCCTCCGCAGGCACCCCAGGCTCACTACTCATTCCATTTACTCCTCTGCTTCTTATTAACTGCCTCTTGGATCTGTCACCATCTTTCTAACAGATGGCCTTTGCCCCTCCATGTGTCTCAGACTGGCTCTAAGAAGTGCTATCTTGTACAAGAAAGGAGTGGCAGTGAATGCCAAATGAAGAGTCACGATTGGGTTTTACACATAGTGCTGCGGTTAGCTGTATAACCCTGGGGACCCACTCTACGATGGTCAGAGTGGGGCATTTGAGGTCAGTGATCTATAGTGGCTCTTTTGACATCTAGTGCTCCATAAAGTACCAATCTCCTGTGAGGCAGATTGGATCCTCATTGTTATGCTTTAAATCTAAAATGTTCCCCACAAGTCTCATGTGTTCATAGGCAAGGCCTCGTTGCAGGAGGTGAGTCACTGGCCATGTGACCTGGAAGGGTGTATTCTTGTCCCTGGCTTCTCCCTTTTTCTCTCTCTACTTCCTGGCTGTCACGGGTTGAGTAGCTTTCCTGTACCATCCCCTACCACCTTGCCATTTCTGGCTTGGAGGCAGCTAACTATGAACTGAACTCTCTGAAACCATAAGTCAAAATAAGGCCCTCTCCTTTTTAAGTTGTGGATGTCAGGTTTTTTGTCCTAGCAGTGGGAAGTGACTAATACCCATCTTTTACCCTGAAAACAGTGATTCTGCATGACCTCATTTACAGCTGCTTTAATGCATTAAGTACAGCCTTATGGCAAAAAAAAAATTATACTTATCACCCCCATGGAACTCTTTCCACAAGACCCAGGTTCTGTATCACAATTCAGAAGTATCCATTTGAGAGATTCCTGAGAATATAGTTTTAGTCACCTATGTTATGGCCCACACTCATTAGTTATGTTGAAAAATGAAAGAGGAGCCATTTTTGTTTTATTTCGCAGTGCTGGAGAATGAACCCAGGGCCTTGCCCATAGTAGGCAAGAACTCTATCACTGAGCTACACTACCCACCCAGGAGCCTCTTTTAACCTTTTTAAAAACTACTACTGATATTGTTTAGTATATGACCTGGGAGCCCATGACGTATATTTCTCGCCTAAGGTCTGCTCCGTCCCTAAGTGGGACTTCTCATACCTCTCCTCTAGCCTACTCCTTTTTCCTTTTAAGTACTTTGCAGTCAGAGGCTTATTTGCTAGTTGTCAGTCTCCAAAAGTAGACTTTTACTTTGGTTGTAGGACCCACCTCCCACAACCAGGCCTTTCCTCTGAACACATGAGCCTTGTGGGGAACATTTTAGATTTAAGCAAAACAATGAGGATCATTGCACCATAAAAGCAAGGAATCCCAGCACCTGAAATCCTGCTTGGCCCCTGTTGGGCTCTGGATAAATATTTGTTGAGTGACTGTCCAAGGGTAAAGTATGTCCTCAGGCTTCTTCGCTGCCTCAATCCGGAGGAAAAGGAACCTGAAGTCCCTCCAGCTGTGAGAATTGTTTGAATCTGGCAGCAACTGGAGAGGATAAAGGTTGTCTCAGAGTCCAGTCTGTTCTGTTTTCCTTAGAAGTAAATGCTAAATGTCTACCCTGTGTAAGTAAATGTGAAGGTGAAAACCATTTGTTTAAAAAAGCTTTATAGATCTATCAAAAGAGTTTGGGGATTTTCTGATACTTTAAACAAAATTCTGCACCGTGTATTTCCTCCTCTTCCATCTGAGTGGTTTGTGGTTTGTTTGTGAGTAGAACAGTGGTGGTCTGTGGATGTGGTGCTTTTGTCTCTTGTTACTATTTTGTTTTTTCTCAAAGTGGGGCTGTATTTACCTAGAAACAGAGCAGGAAGTAGCTGGGTAGCACACCATTCTGTGCACAACTGGAAATGAAGAAATAGCACACAGGTACAAAATAAGCCCGTCTCGGCTATGCAGAGGGAAGCTGGTTAAAGCCTTACTAGGGCAACATTGTGTCACATTGCTTTTGAGGACAGTGGCAATAAATGTGTCTGGAATTTTGTGTCCTGAGTACAGGAGTTAGATTGTCCCCAGGAAGAAATAGATGAAAATAGACACTGCTCTGCCTGTTGAACCAGCACTGTGCTTGCTGACTTTATACATCTTAAAATGGGATCTGGATGTCTGGTGTCCAGAGTCAGAATTATACATCCACACTTTTAATAAGAGCAACTGGGGAATTTCCCTCTGTCTGGCAATTTGTACCTTTTAGATTTGCCATTTGTGATGCCAAGTTCTGTGGCATTATCATTACAAGATCTGAAGTAGATAAGGGTGTCAGGAAAGGAGAGATTTTACTGTTAAATAAAGGGAAACAGTCTCCAGCTACCAACAGTCCTGGCTTGTATGGCCCTGCATGTCGGCTTTTTCCTTACAAAAGCGAAGAGGCTGTAACTGAGCACTTTCCACGAGAGTGCTCCAGGCATTCTTGTGTAGTTGCAAGTCCACCAGGGTTTCCTGCCTCACCCATTTGTCTCCTTTTCTCAGGACTCCCTCAAGTCACTTCTTATTGATAGCCTTGCTACTTCCTGCCCATCAGTCACACCTAGTATATCGTGTGGGTCCAGAACCTTTGGTGGGGCCTTTTATGAGATGCTACTTCTGAGAGCAGATGTCAGTGCTGCTTGCTGAGTCGCTGGCCAAGTATAGCCCATCCACGCACGCCCTTCCCCCTCACACCGTCTTCCTCAAGAGCTCAGCATCCCAGAGAGCTGAAGGAAGATACAGCACCTGGGACTTGTGGAAGGAGTTCATGGATCTTCTACCAAATAAGTGTTCTGTGGGGGAAAGGTCATTGGCAAGGTGGTTA